TATGTTGAGGTGTTTGATCCATTTGGACTTGAGTTTTGTGCATGGTGATAGACATGGGTCTATCTGCAGTCTTCTACATGCCAGCATCAAGTTATGCCAGCACCATTTGTCGAAGATGCTTTCTTTTTTTCCATTTTATAATTTTAGTTTCTTTGTCAAGAATCAGGTGTTTGTAGGTGTGTGGGTTAATATCAGGGTTTTCAATTAGATTCCATTGTTCTACCTGTCTATTTTGTGCCAATACCAAGCTGTTTTCAGGACTATAGCTCTATACTAGAGCTTGAAGTCAGGGATGGTGATATCTCCAGAATTTCCTTTATTGTACAGGGTTGTTTTGGTGATTCTGGCTCTTTTTTTTTCCATATAAAGTTGAACATTATTCTTTTAGGTTCTGTGAAGAATTGTGCCAGTATTTTGATGGGGATCACATTGAGTCTGTAGATTGTTTTTGGCAAGATTGCCATTTTTACTATGTTGATCCTTCCTATCCAAGAGCATGGGAGATCTTTCCATTTTTTGGTGTCTTCTTTAATGTCTTTCTTTAAAGACTCAAAGTTCTTGCTAGATAGGTCTTTCACTTGCTTGGTAAGTGTTACCCCAGATACTTTATGTTGTTTGTGGCTGTTGTAAAGGGCGATGTTTGTTTCTCTGATTTCTTTCTCACCTCCTTTTTCTCCTGTATATAGTAGGGCTAATGATTTTTTTAAATTAATCTTGTATCCTGCCACTTTGTTGAAGGTGTTTATCAGCTGTAGGAGTTCCCTGGTAGAGTTTTTTGGATCACTTATGTAAACTCTTGTATCATCCACAAATAGTAAGAGTTTGACTTCTTCCTTTCCAGGTTGTATCCCTTTGATCTCTTTTTGTTGTGTTATTGCTCTAGCTAGAACTTCAAGTACAATATTGAAGAGAATGGAGAGGGTGGACAGTCTTGTCTTGTTCCTGATTTTAGAGGAATCACATTGAGTTTCTATCCATTTAGTTTGATGGTGACTGTTGGTTTGCTGTATATTGCTCTTATTATGTTTAGGTATGATCCTGTTATCCCTGATCTCTCTAAGACCTTTATCATGAAGGGGTGTTGGATTTTGTCAAAGGCTTTTTCAGAATGTAGTGAGATGATCATTTGATTTTTCTTTTACAGTTTGTTTATGTGGTGAATTACATTGATGGGTTTTCATATGTTGAACTATCTCTGCGTCCCTGGGATGAAGCCTATTTGATCAGGGTGGATTCTGATGTGTTCTTGGATTCAATTTGTGAGTATTTTATTGAATATTTTTGCATGAGTGTTCATGAGGGATATTGGTCTATAGTTCTCTTTCTTAGTTGTGTCTTTTTGTGGATTGGGTACCAAGGTAATTGTAGTTCTGCAAAAAGAGTTTGGCAATAATTCTGCTTCTATTGTGTGGAATGCTTTCAGGATTATTGGTATTAGCTGTTTTAATTTCTGGTGGAATTCTCCACTGAAACCCTCTGGCCCTGAGCTTTTATTGGTTGGGAGGCTTTTAATGACTGCTTCTATTTCATTAGGGGTTATAGTTCTATACACTTGCTCATCTGTTCTTGATTTAATTTTGGTACATGACATCTATACAGAAAATTGTCTATTTGCATTAAGTTTTTGAATTTTGTTGAGTACAGGTTTTCAAAATATGACCTGAAGATTTTCTGGATTTCCTCAGTGTCCAATGCTGTGTCCTGCTTTTCATTTCTGATTTTGTTAATTTGCATGTTCTCTCTCTGCCTTTTGGTTACTTTTGATGAAGGTTTGTCTCTCTTATTGATTTTGTTGAAGACCCAACTCATTTTTTTACATTGATTGTTTGCATTATTTTCTTTGTTTCTTCTTTATTGATTTCAGCCCTCAATTTGATTGTTTCCTGGCATCTACTCCTCAGGGGTGAGTTTGCTTCTTTTTGTTCTAGGGCTTTCAGTTGTGCTGTTAATTCTCTAATGTGACTATCCTCCAGTTTTTCATGTGTGCTATGAACTTTCCTCTTAGCACTGCTTTCAAAGATTCCCATAACCTCGGGTATGTTTGTCTTCATTCTCATTGAATTCTAGGTGGTCTTTAATTTGTTTTTTTCCTTGACCCAGGAATGGCTCAATTGTGCATTGTTCAGCTTCCATGAGTTTTTAGGGTTTCTGCAATTTGTGTTGTTGTTAATTCTAAAATATGGTTGTCCAATAAGATACAGGGGGTTATTCTTTTTTTTTTTTTTTTTTTTTTTTTTTTTTTTTTTTTAGTATCTGTTGAGGTTTGCTATCTTGATGAGTATGTGATCTATTTTAGAGAAGGTTCCATGTGTGTGTTGAGAGGAAAGTATACCCCCCCCCTTTTTTTGGATGGAATGTTCTGTAGATGTCTGTTAAACCCAATTGGGTCATAACTTCTGTTAATCCTTTGTTTCTTTGTTAAGTTTCTCTCTGGTGGTCCTGTCTAGTGTTGAAAATGGGGTGTGTGAGGTTTTATGTGTGATTTGAGTTTTAGTAATGTTTCTTTTATGAATGTGGGTGCCTAGCTTTTCTATTTCCAGCATTCCCTCAGACATCAGACTGTTTTTCTCCCCATTGTCTCTATTTCAGTTTTCAAGCCTTTCAGTGTTTGAATTATTTCCATAGCTGTTTTGTTTTGTTTTTCTTGGCTTTCCTTGTTTTCTTTAAGAGATTTGTTTATTCTTGCAATTTTTGGTTTGTATTTTCCTCCAATTCTTGATTTTTTTTTTCGTTTTCTTCTTCCATTTTTTTAAGGGATTTTCTCATTTCCTCTTTGGGGGTGTCTATCATCTTCATCAATTTGCTTTTAGGGTTGCTGTCTTCTGCTTCATGTCTGTTGGGAATTTCAGCTCTTGCTGGTGTGGAGTCCTTAAACTCTGGTCGGGTCATATAGATCTTTCTGTTGTTGAATGTGTTCATATCCTTTCGTCTTCCCATCCCATCTTCCAGTGGGTACCAGTGCATTGTCTCTCTCTTCTAGTGGGCATTGGTCTAAGCTTCTCTTTTGGTGGATGTAAGTAGGTCCAATACTCCAATGGCTCTCCTTCCCATGGGTGGAGACAGGACTAGCAAGGCAATGTTGGCAGACTCTGGATGGCCTGGCACTCTGAGACAGGTTCCCCTGTGTGTAATCCACAGGCCTCAGGAGGCTCTGAGCAGGGCACTGGAAGTGGTCCAGAAACAGGCCCACATTCACCTCCTTACATGGATGGAGGCGGGTCTAGCACTGCTGAGTAGGGAGACTCTGGATGGCTTGGTCCGCTGGGACAGTCCCCAGGCTTCAGGCTGCTCTGACTCTTTCTCGTTCATATATCCCCACTTCTATTACATTCTATACAGGTGCACAGAGCAATTAAATCATATATCATGCCTTCTAACCATAAGTCCCAATAATCTGTCTTCTCTTTGTACCATATACTAATTGAAGTGTAGTGATTTATAGTAGTGAATTTCAGCAAAGAGAAAACAAAATACTCTAAATTCATATTGTTTCCAGATGCCCACTATGAAATAAATATATATCAGATTAAATAAAATAATTGACAAAGGCTTCTATACCATTAAAAAACCATGTTACTTGTTTATTGGAGCATTAGTAACAACATTCAGTACACGGGAGACCTAGACATGCAATAACAGATAAATGAGTTGTGAAGTTGTGACAGTCACACACAATATGATATTCCCCAATTGTCAAGTTAGGAGTTCCTGTCATTGGATAAAATCTGGATATAGTTATGCCCAATAATTAGGCTCTAATGTTTATATAATCTCTCAAGATAGCTAGACAATAAGCATTTAAAACATAAGCCTATTAAGATTTTTGATACTCAGACCTTAATGTTCTACCTTCTATCTCAAAGTCTCATGCACTTGGGTTGACAACAATTACCACAGAACTGGTTTCAGGCATGAGAAACCACTTTTTGAATTGTTGGTCAGGGTAATCCCTGTGATTCCCAAAACAATATGAATTATAGATGTAACCATTTATCATTTCTTAGTGGTTGAGGGTAGGTCCATATTGCTGAAGACACTTCACATTTAGAACAAAGGACTCAGATAATTTGAGCTTGATGTGATCTCTTTCTTGTGCTATCACTCACATGGTTCCAGGATATACTTAGAAACTTCCAATGGAAGGAAGCAATTAAGCGGTCCTACCAAGCTTTAATACTTACGAAAAATGTGAACACTCATAATTCAAGTTATGAATGATATGCATTCAAGGGGAAATAATTTCAATGACACTCAATGGAAAGTTTTTTTTTTCATGAGGGGTCAGACAGTCACAGAGAGTGAATCAGGGAAAAGACAAGGGAAGAAGAGGGAAGGCTTGACTAAGGGATGCTAACCAGGGCATTAGGAAGGGAAGGAACTGGAAACATTCTCTCTCCACCTTCAAGAGTGCTTGATGTTAATGTATAAAACCTGACCTTATGTTTTCATTGCTGAAGATGGCAGACAGGTGAAGTCCAAGACTCAAATTGGTGGGTGGAGATTTAGAATAGGCAGTCTTAAAGGTGCTATTTATTTACTAAGCAATTTATGTAAGGAATATTTTAAAATTATACATATATTCTAAAATGTGAGGACATTAAAGTAAACTGTAATTGTGGGAATTTCAATTCATTTCTCTTAACATTTAGAAAACAACTTGTAAAAAAAAATATAGGGACATTTCTTTAAAGTATAGTATTCAGTTAATCTTTATCAAGTTCAATGACCAAAGAAATCCTGACCTGCTTTGGGCCTTCTTTGGAGGGAGGGTTTTTCTACAGCGTGAGCTGTCCTGGCCCCAAGTGATTTGATCCCAAGGGTTACACATGAGACAGCTTTAGGGCCCTGCAGTCAGTTAATTGTTTAACAAGCCCATTTTACCCAATTTCTACAAAATAACAATTTTCTGAACCAACCGAACAAGGCTGTGAATATGGCCCACATAGATAAAGGCCAAGTTGATTCTCCAAGCAGTTTTTTTTTTCTGATCAAGGATTCACTTAACTGCGACACCAGACTGTTTCCTGATCTCCAGGATTTCCTGAAGAACCCGTCTCTCCACCTTCCTCCCCAGGAGTGTCCTGCATGGCTTTCTGCAGTAGAATCTTCAGAGTCTTCCGTTGCAGCCTGTGGTGTCTAATGGAGCCAACAAGGAAGTAAATGATGGGGTTGGCACTGCTGTTAACACAGGATAGGAAAGTTGTCATTTCACAGATGCAAGGAAAAATTCTATGCAACTCCACAACACAATCTAAGAAGAACCAACCGATACCAAAGGGAAGACCAAAGAATAAGAAGGCCAGCACTGTGAATGCAATGGTCACATACAATCTGGTCACAGGAATCCTTTGTGAGCCAAAGAAGATCCTGACTAACAGGGCCAGACTGGATCCACAAGGAATCATAGATACTACTACTACAAACGCAGCAGCGATAAAACTGTAAGTCCTACAGGAAGAACTGTCATAATAATTAACCAGAAAGCCACAACTCTTCCCTAACAGGAGGCTTAACAGTAGAGAGAAGGCCCAGAGCAGGGCACACATGACAGATGATGTGTGTCTTGGTCGTTGGCAGTGATACCAGATGGGCCACAACACAGACAGAGAGCGCTCGACACTGATGGCTGCAATCATACACACACCTGCAAGGTAAGCAAAGATTAACACAGTGAAGGGAAAGATGGGGATATGGAAGTAGCTGATATGGAACTGTGCAAAGATATTTCTCAGGAAGTACACAGCCTGAAAGCAGAGGAAGAGGAAGTCAGCCCCAGCAAGGTTGAGAACATAGACAGAGAAGGCGTTCCTGTGCATTTGGAATCCCAGAAGCCACAGCACTATGGCATTTCCTGCCAGTCCAACCACGGCAATGGTGCCAATAAGAATATTCAGGATATTGACCATGTTGATACAGAATACGTTTTCAATGTAGTCGCTGTCATTCATTGTTGTGTTGGCAGTGCTCCAGGACGGTGTAGTTAGATCCATGCTTGGGAATTTTCTGCTGGTGCTCCTACAGAGTAAATAGAGACATGAGCACATGGTACTTTCTGTCAAGTCCACCTGGCTATGTGGGAATGTCTGGCATAGGTTCACAAGCTTGCAGAGATTAAGTAATTTATCCAATCCCCAAAGTGCTAGAAACTTCTTTAAATCCAGTTTTTACTATTCAGTCTATCTGCAGACTACAGCCTCTAGTGATATTGGGGTAGCTGGTGGTTGCAGTACAGTTGCTGATGTTTTATGCTGCGTAAGGAAGAGACTGAATTCTGACACTGACTTTTTAATTTAATTTTATTTATTTTTCTTATTTTAAACATCCATCCCAGTTCCCTCTCCTTCCCTCCTTCCCTCACATTCCCCCCCCCACTACCCTTCTATCCACCCCCCCCACTCCACAGGGAGGGTGGTGCCTTCCAGGAGGGGTCAACAAAATCTGTCAAGTCATTTGCAGAAGGGACTAGGCCCTCCCTCCTGTCTCTAGGCTAAGGGAGAATCCCTCCATGGGGAATGCGCTCCCAAAGTCATTTCGTGCACCAGGGATACATCCTGGTACCACTGTCAGAGGTCCCTTAGACTGCTCAGGCCTCCTTACTGAGACCCATGTTCAGGGGGTCTGAGTCGGTCCAATGCTGGTTCCCAGCTATCGGTCTGGGGGCCGTGAGCTCTGTCTCTACTGACACTGACTTTCTTTCTGTTCCAAGGCTGAGGTTTGTTCTCGGGTGTAGGAATATGGAAGACCCTGGCAAAGCTGTAGCTGCCCTCTGTCTCACTGTAAGGGGTCTATCAAACGGGGAAAGCGGAATCTTAAACAAGAGTCACGAAGGGAATGGCACTTCTTATGAAGACCTGGGTGCCAACAGTCACACTTCTTATGCTAGAAGGGCCGAGTCTTCATTTTGTAATTTGAAAACTAGAAGGCAGAGAAGCCTTGAAGGACATTAAGCACTTTTGTGTTTGTTTTTATGTCACCAGTGTCCTGCTCTCTGCAGGGTTATAGGAAAGATTTAAGAACTCTGTCCTCACAAACAAACAAACAAACAAACAAACAAACAACTATAACAAATGAGCAAATGAACCATGAGTTCAGGGTAGTTGAAAATTTGGAGTAAATTTTGTTCTGGTTGTGACTTGTACCTATGTGCAAAGGCACATGTCGTGGTGTCTCTTCACAGCCATAAAACCCCAACTGAGACATAGTCTATAACAGTTCACCCGAAAGTGAGGAATCCATATCCTTGTCAGAAACCCATATACATTTTTTTCTGTAATACATCATATTTTAGGTCATAAAGCATGCTTAGTGAGTATAAAGGACATTACAATGTTTTGTACAATATCAGTTCACAATGGAATAGCTTTAGAAGTGGTTACGGCCACAGCCCTTCCACTGATGTGGTGGGTACAAGCTACCCATGAATTAGACTGGGTCATTATCTAAGTGCTTAAGAACTGTTTAGCTGTTAAACTATTCATATAAACATTGGACGTAAGTATTGTTTAGGCTATCAAACTGTTACTATTACAATTGAAAAGTAAGACGCCACTTTTAACAAGAGCAGATATTGGGGACACAACTTCCCCATGCATCTGTTTGCTAATGAGGGGTAAGCAAGAGCTTTGGGAGAATGTGGCTGTATTTATTTTAAAACCTATTCCATTGGCTTTCCACTTACATGATAACAAAAGTGTGTATAATGTGGCAGAAATGTTTTATGGGATTAAGAATTGTTTATTCAGGACTTGTAATTAATTTAAATCGTAATACCTAGAGGACTACAATTTTGAAAAACCTTCACTCTTGGTTGCCTACTATTCTCATGACAACACTGAAATAATGTGTCCTACGATAAAATGGGAATGAAGCAAGATGTTTTCCTGGTTTAATACTATTTTAAAAGAAAAAGCAACCATTTCTGTATAAATCATTTATATAAATAAGCACAAAGAACATTGTGGTTTTCCTGTAACAATGAGACCAGCATAAAAGTGGCAATGGTTGGACATGCTTTCCTTAAACAACATGCGTTGTGGTATTGTCTCTGGGGGGAAGCACAGTTAGATGTACAAAATGGGCTTCCTGAAATCACATTAATATCATATCCTCGAGTTTTTCTCTCTGCATCTCTTCTGATGCTTTTCTCTGTGTTCTTTTCCCTATTTTTTTTTTTTTGAAAAGACAGCAAAAATCTCACTATGATCCCATGGTTGAGAGACCTTCAAGACTTTTATAGGCTACCAGAGAGACCAAGTCCATTACTTTCTCTCTTAATGAATTACCTGAGCTTTACATTAAAAGGGACCCCAGTTTGCATTCTGTCTGAATCAGATGACAAGCACGTTACCAGAAATTGGATAGTCAGAGATGAGTGGGGAAATGCAACAAGGCTTTCAGAGGAGCAACACTCCGGCTCATCTCTCCTTCTCCAGTACCAGTTTCTCCTGATGATCGTGAGAGGCAAGCAGTGGACAGCTCCCTTCTTCACGCTCTTGCTTTATCATTATTCTCCACGCATCTCCTCTGTCCCTAAGACCTGATCTTTGTAAACAAACACTTCCTGTGCTATTCTTCAGTTGTTCAATTTATAACCATCCTTTCCTTCTTGAGGGCAACACGCAAACATTGCAGATCAGCCTTGAGAAACAACAAACAATGAACCCGTTGTGCAGGGTTTTGCCCTGGGAAGCAAAATGGCCACACAACCTTCTTCCTTAAAGAAACAACAGAGATGAATAGGAATGATCTTAGGAAAGTAAGAAAAGTCTGTTTAAGCCGGTCATCTCTGTGCTTCAAAAGGAGACTTCTTTGTCATGCCTCCCCAGGAGGAAGCCCCGGACCCTGCATGTTGCATTTTGTAGTAGCAACACATGGGTGGGAACTCAGAGAAAGCCCATGACAGTACCACTCTGAACATTCTTGGAGCATATCCTTACCTTTCTCCCAAGGATGAAGAAGGCCCGTTAGTAGACTGATTCTAGACTTGGCTGCCTTGCTCTGAAATTGGGATTTGCCTTCAGGATCTGAGGAAATGTGTCTGACCCAGGTGTGAGGCTTATGAAAGTGCTGAGTAGTCTTTGTGTCACACAGCAGAAGCCTTTGGGTCCAGGTCCAGATGCCCACTAAGTTGTTTCTTGGCACCTGCCCCATTTACACTCTTATTGGCCTCTCCCATCCCATCCTTTTAGGTCTAGCTGTGTCCAATAATTACTCTTCCCTCATTGATGGACCAGTTCCCATCATAGCTGGCAACGTCAAGTAGTATCAATCAGCTTGAGCTGTGTGAGTGAATACCCGAGTCCTAATCATGTCATGCCTCACACACCAGCCTGTCCCACCCCATCCTGACTGGTCTGCCTTCCCTTAAATAATTGTTCTTCTCTCCATTAAGGGACAGTTCCCACAACCAGCAATGTCAAAGAGTGCCAGCCTGGGGTCTGTGACTGTGTAACTGAGGCCTAGGCAGACTACGCCGCCTTGCAGGCTGTGCGTGGTGATGGCTTGTCTCTCCTGCTACTTCCACAGCAGTGCTGAATTCAGTGTGGTCTCCTTCCAAAGGACGTTCAAGCTGACAGTCTTTTTGAATCCTCTGCAGGTGACCTAAGTTCCAACCCTTACCCATCTTCACACTCCTTCACTAGCGAAGAACCAGTCTTCATCTTCAAGGCAAAGATACAGCAAAGACAAACTACGCTCAGTCCTGTTTACAATTAAACCTCTGCTTCTCAGGGATTCGACTTGCGTACCTTCAGAACAAATGTTTCCGTACGGACTGTTCCAGGAATGGTAATCATGTCTTTGTTTCAGAAAGTTATTTTTAGCCGTCTTGCAACACTAATGCCGTTTTCAAATGGTCACGTGACCACCTATGCTTACCGTGTTATGACTACCCGTTGTGATTACCCTGTTTCAACCACATGTTAATTTCTAATCCTGTATCCCCGACTACTTCCCCTACTTGAAAACCCCCTACACCTGAGCTCTATCAAATGTAGATGGAGATTTCTGTCCCACCTGGTCCTGCAGCCCCTTAATCTCAAATAAGCAGAGGCTTATATTAAGCTCAGGCTCTAAATTATTTATTCATTTTTTAAAATTTATTTATTTTTTATTTTACATGTCGATCCCAGTTCCCCCTCCCTTTCTTTTACCCTCTCTGCCCCCTCCCATCCCCCACCCCCATTCCATATGTAGGGCTATGCTATCCAGGCGGGGTCATGTAAATCTGTCAAGTCATGTGAAGTACGGACTAGGACTTCTCTCCTGTCTCTAGGTTAAGGCAGTATCTTTCCATGGAGGATGTGTTCGCCAGGTCCTTTTGTGCACCAGGGATACATCCTGGCTCCACTGTCTGAGGTCTCTTAGACTGCTCAGTCCTTCTGGCTGAGACCCATATTCAGGGAGCCTGAGTCAGTCCCATGCTGGATTCCCGGCTATCAGTCTGGGGGCCCGTTAGCTCCTCCTTGTTCATGTCAGCTGTCTCTATGTGTTTCTGCAGCCTGGTCTTGTCCTCTCCCCTCTCTCTAAATTATTAACCCATTTCAATTAAACTATGTACTGCCTCTTCGTCTTGGCTTACAATGATGCCTTTCGTCAGTTACATGACATCTTTCTGGTGGCCCCTCTCTGCCTTTCCTCTTCCCAGAACTCTCCTGGTCTCTACCTATACTTCCTGCCTGGCTCCTGGCCAATCAGCATCTACTCATCAACCAATAAGAGGAACGTGCATTCACAGCATACAGAAGAGCATCCCCATCACATCCAGTGCTGAATTCTTGAATCCCATCCTAGGAGGGCAGCAGCCCATGTACTTGAATCAAAATGTTTGCTTTGTTTTTTTTTTTTTAATTAACTTGGCTATAATGATTTGGGTCAGTGATCTTTCTCCTCCCATATTTGGAGTTAATACTAGCACCTCTGAACAGAAATGTTGCTTTTTATTTTATTTCATCAGTACAAAGAAGTGTGTTGGCCCACCCACCTCATGAGCCACAGATGTCAGCATGTGTGCCAGTTCATATAACATGCTCTATAAAATTTGCTAATCTTATGTTCTTGGAGCATAAATGCTCTGAATTTTAAGCCTGTTC